CCCATGTAGGCGGAAGATGTGTGTGAAAAAGGCGTGGGCCACAGAAACTGCGCTGTAGGGGTGGGGCAATGGAATGAAATGAGCATATTTTGAGAAGCGGTCCACCACTACGAATAAGATGGATTTCCCTCCCACCTTAGGCAAGCCTTCAACAAAGTCCATAGAGATATCGGCCCAGATTTGCGTTGGGAGTGCCAGGGGCTGCAGGAGTCCTGCTGGGTGTAAGTTCTCCCACTTTTGTTGCTGACATACGGAACAGTTCTGGATGAAATCCCTGACCGAGCCTCGCATACCATGCCAATGAAAGTCTGCACGGACGCGGTGTAACGTTTTCTGCACCCCTTCATGGGTGGCATTGTGGATGCTGGCGAGGATAGCTGGAATCAAGGGACAATCGGTTGGGAGAAATACCCTTCCTTTGTACAGCACAAGACCCTCGTGAATGGTCCAGATTGGTTTGGTTGTGCCCGACTGTAACTCTTGCATCAGGTCTCTCCACGTGGGTGATTGGGGCAACACGCTCCTTAGGTTCTCCAGTAGGGTCACGCGGGGCTGGGAGACCGCACAGAGGTGCGCCGTGTCCTCTTCCCGCCTGGACAGCGCATCAGCGGCCCGGTTGGAGGCTCCTGCCTTGTGGTCTACGCGGAAGTCAAATCCTAGCAGTTTGCTTGCCAGTGCTGTTGGGGTGGAGTAGTAAGCCGCTGTTCTAGAAGGTATTTGAGGCTGTAGTGGTCTGTCTTGACAATGAAGGGTTTGCCCCACAAATATGGCCTCCAGTGCTGGACGGCCTTGGCCAATCCGATCAATTCGCGCTCGTAGGCCGGTAGCTTGAGGTGCCGATCTTCTAGTTTACGGCTAAAGAAGGCTATGGGGTGCCCTTTCTGTTGCAGTACTGCTTTGATGCCTATGCCAAGCGCATCACATTCTACCGTAAATTCTTTCTCAAAGTTTGGTAGTTGCAGCACGGGGATAGTGGAGAGTGCGTCCCTTAGGTTTGTGAAGGCGGTGTTAGCTGCTTCATCCCATTGAAATGCATTCTTCTTCAACATCTTGGTCAATGGGGCCGCCAGGAGTCCATAGTCCCTTACAAATTTGCGGTAGTATCCCGCAAGCCCCAAGAACCCGCGGAGAGCCCTGATGGTCTGCGGCTTGGGCCACTCCCGGATGGCTTGGATCTTGGAATTATTTATCGAGACTCCTTCCCTGCTGACTATATGGCCTAGGTAACGGACCTGCACCTCTCCAAAGGAGCACTTGGTTCGTTTTAGGAAGAGCTTGTGCTGTCGCAACAGCTCCAGAACTGTCCTTAGGTGACAAACGTGCTCCACCCACGAAGTACTGTAAATCAAGATATCGTCAAAAATACTAGGACGAACCTGCGGAGGTGGGGCCAAAATACCTCGTTCATTAGGGCCTGGAATGTAGATGGGGCATTGGTGAAACCAAAAGGCATGACTAGGAATTCAAAGTGGTCGTGATGCGTTCGGAAGACTGTTTTCTCCACATCTTTAGGGGCCATTTGGACCTGGAAGTAACCTGACCTGAGATCCAGCTTAGAAAAGTACTGAGACTCGTGGAGCTCATCTAACAATTCGTCTACCACCGGGATTGGGAACTTGTCCTTGACGGTTCTACTGTTGAGCTCCCTGTAGTCCACACAAAATCTCAGGTGCCATCTTGCTTTGGCACCAACAAGACTGGTGAAGAGAATGGAGAGCGGTTGGGGCGTATGATTCCCTATTCCAGCATCTCTGCACACTACCTCTCTATCTCGTCCTTCTGTAGGTGCGGGTAGCGGTATGGCCTCACGACGATGGGTCTGGCCCCTTGTATTAATGGGATCCGATGGTCACATGACCGGCTAGGTGGAAGGCTCCTAGGTTTTGAGAACACGTCTGAAAAGTCTGCAAGAAGCCTCTCCATCTCTGCGGTGTGCAAGGCGTTGCCATGGAGAGTATGCACCTGTGGTTTCCTTGCTCTCATCTCGGTCCCTTTCTAGGTGACCCGCTTCCCATGTAAGTCAAATGTCATGGTCAAGGCGCTGAAATCCCATAGGATGGGGCCGAGGGTGATGAGCCACTTAATCCCCAACACTATGTCGAACTCGTCTAAGGTCAGTACAAATAGA